TCCGGAGAGGTAATGGTATCGTGAGTCGGAACAAATATTGCTTGTTTGGATAAACGATCTATGATAACGAGGATGGCTGTAAAGCCTGATGAGTCCGGAAGTTGCTCTATGAAATCCATGGATATGGAATTCCAAGGCTTTTCCGGTATGGGTAGTTGCTTGAGCAATCCGTAGGGTTTATGTCTCGGAACCTTGGCTCGGGCGCAGGTAGTGCAGGACCGGACGTAGTCCTTAACATAGGTGCGTATACCCGGCCATGTATACTCGCGTCGGATGAGGTCTAGGGTTCGGTTTTGACCAAAATGTCCGGATAAGGGGTGATCATGAGTATTACGGAGGACGCGAAGTCGAAGGTTATCGGATTCTGGGACATATATACGGTTGTCGCAACGGAGGAAACCCCTATCGTCCACTGTCCATCTCGGATCTGAAGGTACCGGAAGATGGTTGGTTGCAATAGGGTCATTAGGAAGTGCGGTCAGGATGTCTTTCCGAAGGTCATCAATATCCATTAGAACAGCTGCTCTAAGAACCGGAGTTGCTAAGGTTGAGGCTCGTAGGGACGAAGCTAACTGTTCGGACGTGAATACCGGACGGAAGTTATGAGGGTTAACTCGAGCGTAGTCCTTATCCCCCTCTTTGGGATAGACGTCCCAGCGTCTAGTAAGGGAATCCGGTTTAACTCCGAGTTTTCCGGGACGGAAGCGGATGACAAGATTGAACTGATGGAGGAATTCCGACCAGCGGGCCTGACGTCGAGAGAGGAGTTTGGTAGTGGCGAAGTACTCAAGGTTCTTGTGGTCCGTGACAACATCTACAGGCTCGGCCGAGCCTTCTAGATAATGTCGCCAGGTCCGGAAAGCTTCGTATATAGCTAGAAGTTCCTTATCGTGGGTGTCATAGTTAAGTTCCGGAGCGGTTAGCGTTCGAGAGTAGAACGCTACCGGACGAAGCTCTGAGTCCGGACATACTATGGATAGTATTCCAGCTATAGCGTAGTCAGAGGCATCGGTTTCCACAACTATAGGAACATCCGGCATCCAGTGCGTAAGCACCGGAGCCGTAGTGAAGGCTTTCTTGAGTTCTTCGAAGGATTTCCGACATTCATCGGAAAAGTTCCACGGAGCATCCTTGCGTGTAAGCCGTGTTAACGGAACCACGATATCCGAGTAGTTGAATATAAACCGTCTATAGAAATTTGCGAATCCGAGGAAGGATTGGATATCCTTGACTTTCCGAGGTTCCGGCCAGTCAGTAATAGCTTGGATCTTATCGGACGACATAGTTAAGCCGTCCGGAGATAGGAGATATCCGAGATATTCAACGGAGGTGGAATGGAATTCGCATTTTTCGGGTTTGGCATAGAGACGATGTTTACGGAGTCGACTGGAGTACTTCTCGGACGTGTTGCTTGTGGGACGCAAGGTCATGGGAATAGATGAGGATGTCGTCCAGATATACGATAACGCATACATCCAGCATATCAGCAAACACGCTATTGACAAAGCGCTGGAATGCTGCTGGAGCGTTAGTGAGACCTTCCGGCATCACCAACCATTCATAGGAGCCATAGCGCGTTCGGAAGGCAGTCTTCCATTCGTCCCCTTCCGCTATCCGGACAGATGATAAGCGGATCGGAGGTCGATTTTGGTATAAACTTTAGCACGGCTCGGAGAGTCTAATAGGTCGGCAATGAGGGGTAATGGATATCGGTCTTTCTTAGTGATCTGGTTGAGTCCACGGAAATCCACACAAAGGCGGAGGGATCCGTCCTTTTTCTTGACAAATAGGACCGGAGCTCCGTGAGGAGAGGATGAGGAGCGGAGGAGTCCAGAGGCAATATTTTCATCAAGAAACTTCCGGAGGGCTGCAAGCTCGACCGGGGATAGAGAATAGATAGTTCCGAGGGGAGGACTAGTTCCTTCTTCCAGATCTATGTTTAGATCATAAGGACGATGTGGGGAAGCTGACCAGCCTTTCCCTTGTCGAAGACATCCGCAAACTCGTGATAGTCCGAAGGAATTTTGGATAGATCCGGAGGATCGGACGATAGAGAAGCGGATCGGAGATCGACACCGGATGGTCGAAGGTATATACTGAACTGGACCGATCCTTCTAACTTGCAGGCCCGGCAAAAGGCAACTGCATTGATTAGGGATATATTAGGAACAGTGTTATCAGCGGAGGGTACGGATGTAGTCGGAGGAGGTATGGTTTCCGTCGGAGGAGGGATATCCGAGGACGGAAGTGACGTCGGAGGGGTCGATGGCATTCCATGAGATGTCGTCCGGAATTCGATGCTGCCCAAAACCCAGTCAATCAACGGATTGTGTCGGGTGAGCCAGCTATATCCAAGAACGATAAAACAAGATGAATCCAAAGGGGGTAACGTAGAACGTATCAGAGGTGACTACACCGGACGGAAAGCGGACGGACAAATCTATAGCTTCGGAAATAGTATTATTACAAGTACCATCAAACAAGCGGAGCGGAATCGTAGGTATCGGATATGTAGGGATTTTGTGTTTTCGGATGAACGCAGTATCTATGAAACAATGAGAAGAACCACAATCTACAAGAGCTGGAAATTCGGATACGGATGGAAGTAACGGAAGTGAAACATATGGACAGAGGGAAGTCGGATCCGAGAGCGCGACAGCGTTGAGTCTTAACTCCTTTGTGCAGGCAGAGTCAACGCGACCCTCTTCCTGCACGGAGCTAGGAGAGTCGCGGACTATTTTTTTGTCTCAGTAGAGACATCCGGTTTGACTTCCGGAGCGACTACTGCAGCGCGGCCTTTGGCAGCACGCGAAGTAGACTTGGTGCATTCCCGAGCAGTATGGCCGGGCCCACCACAGAATAAGCAGAGTTTCTTGTCCATCCTTCTCTGCCGCTCTTCGGACGTTAACTTTCCGTCCTTACCCAGCTTGGAAGTAAGATCCGGAACTTTAGGAGCGGACGAGTTCGAGGACGCGGATGGCTTTGTAGACTTCTGATCATGGGAGTTTCCGGATTTGTGATTTCCGGATCCGGACGTATTGGAGTTCGTCCGGTCAGAAGCAGATTGCTTAGGGGTAGTGGATGAAGTGGGTTTAGCTTCTCGAGAGATCTCTCCCTTCCGTTCCCAGTATCGGGCGTCGATAGTCTGAGCGAGGACTTTGTATTCGGAAAGAGTAGAGGGTTTACCCATGCGACTGATTTCATCCTTGATACGGGCCGGGAGTCCGTTGTAGAATTGGCGTCGTAAGGCTCCGTCGCCCCAGCCACGAACCTGTGAAGCAAGACGCTGGAATTCCACAACGTACTTGTTGATGCGCTGTCCATCGCGCATGTGGAGCTGTTCGAGCTGCATTTCTGCATCACCGGATGGGTCATGAGGCCCGAAGTTGGCTTGGAGTTCAAGCATGAACACGGAATAGTCATCCATCCAATCCGGATGGTCGTCCAAATCATCGGACAGGAGATCCGGTTCAAACCATTCAAGGGCCATACCCTTAAGGTAGGATTGGGCGAAGTTGACTTTAGCCCTTCCGGTACGGAAAGCCTTAGGCTTGCTCTGGAAGTTAAGCTCACACTGGACAAAGAACGCACGGAGCTTCCGTGGTTCGGATCCGTCGAAGGTATCCGGTTCTCGGACCTTGACTCTAGAATCTTCGGATGCGGGCGCGCGACGATTATTGCGAGCGAGGTTATCGATGGCTTCTGAGAGTCGAAGCATAACGCGGTCTTGTGGGTTTAGACCGTCATTTTCATCATCATCATCATCCGGATCACCACCGTTATCATCGGGTGGATTACCAGGGAAATCATCATCACCATCATCGGGATCATCATCGTCCGGAGGTCCTACGGCAGGAGTGCGTGTTGGGGTTTCCGGGGTGTCGACGATTAAGGAGTTCGGATATGGTTTGAGCGGTTCCGTGGGCGCTAACGCGGCGCTGAGAGAAACTGGTGAAGGTGTTGACTATAGGTGTCGGATCACGACGGAGGGAGGTTAGTCCGACCGCGTGCAGAGTTGTTTGTGTCTTGGTAGGAGGCATGATAGATGTTAAGTAACTCGGAAAGGTATGAGTTCGAATATACTGTTAAGACCGTACTCAAGTAGTATCGGATCCGAAGGGCTTCGGCCTCAGCTCGTGCGCTGTGCCCCTTTCCCGAGTCTTGCCCCTTATTTCAGAGAGCTAAAGTATCGCGTATATAGAGTAACGGCCAATCCGGATCGGATCCGGACTGGAAGCTAACGGGTGAGGACTGTCCGAAGACAGAGGCGGATATGTAGACTATAGGAATCTATCCTAAGTCTCGGAGTAGACAAGAGTAGCGTACTCAAGTCCGGATGGATAACGGAGGGACTCAGAGTCCAGACGGAATGAGTGCAATCTAAGATGATATTCGAACTGATCTACTACAGCGCATATACAAAGGTTTATATACTACGGATAGCTAACGGAATGATCAATAAGCAAAGTCTAAGTGGAGCGTATTGGTAAGTTGGATGGATCACGAATCATGAACCGGGAATGAAGTACAAGTAAAAGCGGATTCGTACGTGTAGCGGATCAGTAAGCAAAGCGGAAGTAAAGGATAACCGGTATACCGGTGTACAGGAATACCGAAAGGAGATGAACGATAGTTAGAGTTATATGAACAGGAAATGAAATAAGAATCAAAGCGGATCTGTGGACCGGACGACGGATATGTTCATCGGATCTGGATCGGATCTGAGATCCAGATCATCGGATCTGTAACCGGATATATGGTATATGACACCAGACCCCAATGTCACTATCCAGGGTGACAATGAAGAAGGCAAAATCATCGACGGCCCAATGCTGGTCCAGGCCCATGTTCAGTTAGCAAAAACACACTGTAAGCCAGCTTATATTTGACAATCAATACCTCATTATTTTCGTTATTGCGCAGAATGTAAACGTGCACAAACTGTACCTGATTTAAGTACAGAAATCTCTACCCCCCGTCTCTACAACCTTCTCCACTGATTCCTATTCAAACAATTGCATCCAGATTACGAACCTTCTCCATCTGACGTCCCACTTGCAAGTTGTCCTCGATTTGATGGGAAAATTCAAGTGTTCAACTCTGCATCTTCGACATTCTATGCGCCTAGCGACCGCAGCAGTATCAGTGGCATGCGCTGGGAGCATACACGTGCTTGTCCTCTTTGGAGAAACGAGGCACCATGATATGATTGTGTGTTTGTGAACACAAATGCAGCTGTTGAAGGGATGGGGGGGATGGACATAGGCCGTGTCATGTGCTTTTTCTCTTTCACGTTTGAGGCGGTTTCATATCCATGTGCTGTAGTGCACTGGTTCGAGAAAGCCAGCAATGGACCTGACGAGGACACTGGCATGTGGATTGTAAAACCTTCATATGATACTGACCATTCTCCACTAATTGGAATTATCCATATTGATTCCATTTACTGGGCTGCACACCTCATTCCGATCTATGGAACGCATCCCATCCCAGAGAACCTCAAACACTATGACTCATATGATGCCTTCTGCACATTCTATGTAAACAGGTTTGCAGATCACCACACATTTGAGATCACATCTTAGGTGAGACTATTCTTCTTTGGTGCGCAGTGGTACTCATTCACCATCTCAGAAGAAAATGATGTGCATGGGTGCAGCCTATTCATCCCTCCACATTAGCACATCCTGAAAGAAGATGATGTGCACAGGTGCAGTCTTGTTACGCTTGCCAGGTTCGTCCCCCCATTTCGACATCATCTCTCCACACTAACACATCCTGGAAGAAGATGATGCACACAGGTGCGGTCTTGCCAGGTTCATCCCTCCATTTCGACACAATGGTACTCATTTGTCTGATGAAGAGATGAAGAAGATCGTGCTTGGAATGTCAGTCTCACATTCATCTTCAAATATATGGCTGTTATCACACCATCAGTAAGTCACAGTCACCCTCATTTGTGAATTCCAACCCTCTGATGAAGAGATGAAGAAGATTGTGCAGTCTCACATTTGTCTTCGAATATATGGATGTTAATCACACCATCAGTAAGTCACAGTCACCCTCATTCATGAATTCCAAACCTCTGACGAAGAGCGTGCTCAGAACCTCAGTCTCATATTTGACTTCGAATATATGGTTGTTGTCACTACTAGTACCCCATCCTCTGTTCTCCCCTTCCATTCCACGAATGATTCAGAAAAATGCCAGCCAACACAGTTTTGCTGATCTGTCAGTGAGCCATGGTAGTAGTACTAGCAGTAGTATTATCATTTATGACTTATTGTGCTTAATACAACTTTTCTTGCTTTTTGGCAATCTGGACTTAAGAGCTTGGGCACGCCCTGAATTTGCTTTTGCAAAAGTCTATTAAGTCGGAAAAGCAGTGTTTTAACTTGCATTTACCAAATATTAAGGGACGAAAAGATGAGTGTACCTGCGGGTTGGAAGATCAACACCGTACCCATACGGGTATGGGTACCGTATTACCCGTACTACATCAGTAAACCCCAATTTTCTCCACAGACATAACATTTCCGACAGTTTCCCACAGTAACCCACAGTGCCCCACAGCGGCACAGAGCTCACAGTAGATTTCTCCCAGCATCGACATTTTCTGATACTAGTTCCTCACAGCAACCCACAGAGGGACAGAGCTCACAGGGTGTACAGCTGCTTACAGTGTTTGTCAGTAAAATACTAGTACTAGTCACCATTTCCATTTCTCAAGCGCTACTATTAGTATGTAGTTTGAGCTAGAGCTATACTTAGAAAATTAAAACAATTTGAAGCACATCCGCCAAGGTCAAGACATAAACAAAATTTCATGGCCGAATCATATGTAGTGAGAGTACTACTGCCAAATACAATGTTTCTATTTGATACAAATCAAAAGAAGGTACTTGTCATCAGTCCAACTGGATGGCGACCTGACGGCAGGATGCGAATGAGTCTATGATACGAAGGTGTTAGTTGGTAGTACTATGTAAATGATAGGCGTACTTACCGTGAAGATTGTGTGGCGCTGGGTGGTGAGAAAGACCATGTTTCCTGAATGTGATGCGCATATGACCCAATCCTACATCCGCCTTGTCGAGCTTGCGCTTAGAGATGGCGGACTTGTGTTTTGAAAGAGACGTCATGACTTCATGTTCTCGGACGATGCAATCGGCAAGTGTTTTCTCTGCATCGAATACATCACGTCAGGCCCTTGCAAGGTCCATGATGAGGTTGGCTTCAAGATCATCAACATCGTTGATGGTCTGTGGGCATGTGAACGAGCATTGCCTAGTAAGATATCACAGTCACTTACCATTGAGCCAATAGCGTCGACCACATTGTACAAATCTGCGATACCACTGCCAGAGTCACCCAGGACATAGTTGGCTTGCCACTTATTGCATCGCGGGCGCATACGTGACGCCGATGATACGTCACTATCACTAGAGACATTCAGATTGAGATGTATTGGTGTGTGGCTTGACTCGGACATGAGGGACTGAAAAACTAATATGTTCGGATTCCGGAATCAATACCTTTACAGTTGAACGTCTCAGAATTCTCACGTGCACGCTATGTCATCATTCCAGTGTCCTTCATGCGGCAAAGGCGGTTTCAAGAACGACGTCGCTGTTGCTCGTCACATGAGCCAACCTCATTCTGGGTGCAGTACGTGGCTGCAGGATTTGGCATGCTTTCGCCCCGAGTCTGATGACTCTCGTATGGACTCGGATGATGAACCAAATATTTCCATGGATATGGACGATGGACCGAATATACCCGACATCGAGTCTGGTGGTTTTGGGGATTGGGATGAGATGTCTCGAGGGAGTACTGGTGGTAGTGAGAGCCAGGGAATGCCAACTCACAACTCGGAAGTTATCGACTCATATCCTGACTGCGCTCAAACATACGGCAAGGGCTACACGTTCCTCGATCTATTCAATTCCGACAATAACAGCAAACACCGTGCAATGAATCCGTATTACCCATTCAGCAGCCGGAAAGACTGGGAAGTTGGGTTGTGGCTCCTTCGCTCAGGATTGAGCATGGGGAAGATAGACAGTTTTCTTTCACTCGAGATGGTGAGTAACAAATTCGTCGATAATATTTACAATTTTTCTAAGTGATTCAGATAAAGACCCTTCCGTTGTCATTCCTTTCGGCCAAGGAACTTCGCAGTAGAGCGGAAATGTTGCCCAGCGGTCCGCGCTGGATGTCTCAAATCATACCTACAAAATTTCCTACAAAATTGCCCGTTGTGTTGTATTGGCGCTGAAGATGAGGAATCGTGAGTGGGTCTATACTGAAAAATATAAGATAAGTCGCCTGCAGTAGTCCTCGAACGCGAGTAGAAGTCGGCCCAAGAGGATCTTTACTGAGTCTTTTCCTCGAGTAAATGCGAGGGGATGCGCTGAACGAGTCAGCAAGGGAATCTGCGCAAAGCGCGGGTGCGAGACGCCTTGTAAACGCGAAACGCGCGTTAACGCGACGAAAGGCGAAAGCGCGATGTAGGCGGAACCGCGAGGCGCAACAAGCGCGCTATAGGTGCGCTATAGGGGGCAGTGAAGAGGCGGAAGTAGCGCGAAGGTCTCTCAAGATTTTCTCAAGAGAGCTTGTTGCAAAAGAATAGAGAGTCGCGCAGTGGTTGTGTTGCAAATGAATAGAAATTGATTCACAGTATACACTGATGCAGGATGATGGGATGTAGTGAGTAAGTAAGTAAGTGAAAAATCTATCAGAGTCCCCATGTCTAAGGTAAATGTTCCCAGGCGCTGAGCCGAAGCGGAAGCAAAGCAAAAAAGAGTTGTTGTGTTGTAGAATAAGGAAATATGTGTAAACAGACGAGGTATATAGCTAAAGTCAGTTGAAAAGATAAAGGGAGACGCACCAGCGGATCATAGAGGGACAGGACAGGACGTGCAGAGGACAGGCGACTTGGAAAAGCGAACGCGAAGGTAAAGCGCGAAAGCGCGCGCAAAGGCGCCGTAGTAACGCGAAAGGCGCTATAGAGGCGCGCTATAGGTGCCAGATGCACGGATGCGCGGATTAGGCGGAAGCGTCGCGCGTTTAGCGCGTTTAAGTCGCCTTGTCGTATATAGCGCGCGTTAGTGGAGACGAAGTGGAAATACGGCCTTTGTGAGGCTACTCGCAATGGAGTCTCTACAGTGCAATCCCCTGGATTGTATTTCAAGCCTTCTCAACCATCCTGCCTTTCATGATCAGCTGGACTTTACGCCTTGCAGGGTGTATACCACTGCACAGAGGTTGTGTCGCGTGTTCTCGGAATGGGCGACAGGTGATGACGTGTGGAATATGCAGGTACGCATAGTATCATTTGTGCGAGTTGTCATACTTATCAGTTTTCGGACAGTCAGCCCTACCAAAAGGTGCAACACTCCTTGGGACCATCTTATCATCTGACAAGACGAATGTATCGACCATGACGGGCGACAGAGTTGCACATCCCCTTCTCGTTAGCCTTGCTAACATACGCATGTCTACCCGACTCAAATCGTCTTCGAATGCCTTTGTCCTTACTGCTCTACTCCCCGTCCCAAAATTCATCTACAAGAAGAAACGCATGCGAGGTGTACTTGAGGATCGCCTCATTCACGAATGCTTGGATATAGTTCTACGTCCACTCAAGGTAGCCACCCGCGAAGGGGTCATGCTGTCAGATCCTATCGGACACAGTCGCTACTGTTTCACACCGCTCGCAAGCTATATTGTCGACACCCCGGAGGCCATGATGCTGGCTGCCGTTGGCGGGAAAACCTCTCCGGTTACTATGGCCATGTATAAACAGTTTGGAGATTCTTTCCGTCACGAACCTCGCACACGAGCAACTACACTCTCCCAGCTGGCTACTGCACGGAGTAAAGTTGATCCCGATGACATCAAGGCTTTTTTCCGTTGTCCTGCATGATTTGGGAATCATGCATGGACATGACTACTAGGTATCCCCCTAAAAGACAAAGTCTGTTAGCTTAGTCCTCAGACTAGTCAACCCATACCTTGGTATCAAACCTTGGTCCAATAGTTTCAGTTTTCCCTCAGTGATTCATGAATCCACCATGTTTTGAAGAAAAGTCATATGTGAGATGGGAATCACATAATGACCTAGTTGATATGAGAAGCAAAATGAAGGTTAAGGTATTGCCTTTCCTTTGGCTTATTCACTTTGGCTAGAGAAACCCATAGAGAAAAGTTCAAAGCCTAACAAAAACCTATCTAAAAAGCCCGCGTATTGTGTACTATTATTTGTTCCATTATTTCTGAGTTGTTTTCTCTAGTGTTTCTTTACTTTACTTTTCTATTAGGATGCTCTGACTAATCAGATGCTTCATAAAATTGTACCTACAGGGTATGATGTCATAATGATGTCATAGGACTTCACCTACACTCCTGCAGGTATTTTGGTTGAAAGATATGATATCATAGTGATGTCATAATGATGTCATGTTCCATGGAATTTGCTAGAACATTCCAATGACTCATAATGACTCATAGTGACTCATAGTGACTCAGAATGATGTCATTATCCCACCATGAATATTCTGGAATGTTCTTTTTGCACCTGCTAGAACATTCTGCTCCAGTTTTTGGAATATTCTTCTCACATTCTGAAGTCATTACATCACCTTTTTACTTACATAATATTCCCACACAAAATGTATATAAGGAGAGCCCATTCTCCCCCAAAAAATAGATCTCCCACTTGTTGCATTCAAGAACTCCCACTTGAGCAAATTGAACTCTCACCTAAGAAGCTTCAGTCTGAACAAATTGCTGCTTACCAAAGCCCATTCCTTTGTAAGAACTGTCCAGGCAAGTGCAGGGAAAGTGTTTCCCTTGAGATTACGTAAGTTTCTCGCGATAGAAACCCAGTTTTGTGAGACCAGTGTTCTCACCACGTAGTGTTTACTGACCAACACGAGCTTTGGTCACCGTTGTTTTTTTGTGAGACCAGCATTCTCACCAGGTATTTGTATACTGACCAACACGAGCTTTGGTCATTGTTGTTATTTGTCATTGTTTTATATTTGTCATTTGTTGTTATTTGTGAGACCAGCGTTCTCACCAGGTATTTGTATATTGACCAACACAAGCTTTGGTCCACGTAGTCACATTTGAGACCAGCTTTCTCAACAGTTAACCGTATATTCAGGAAACCAGTTCAAGTGTCTAGACGGTATATCCTAGACAATCCCATAGTTTTCAATCAGAGATAATAAAGCTCCGGCTAAGTTAATCTGACTGATTGGTTTAGCGAGCCTCCCAAGAACTCACACGTTATCTACCACGAAAGAAGAAAAGTCGTAGACCGTGTTAATCGAGGACTGGCAAGAAGTCTTATCCAGTGTAATTGTGGTGTCATTACATTCTTACACGTATTTATATAAGACCCCTCGGTTATTAAGACACCGTGAGGCCCAGAAGTTTCGTCTGAATGGCGTCAACACACCATTCTGGCTAGATTGGCCCCTCAGTGATCCATCACACTTTCTTACTCCCGAGTTTCTTCACCTCATCCATCGCGAGTTCTACGACCACGATGTAAAGTGGCTCATTTGCGCAGTCGGTGACACAGAGATCGATTTTCGGTTCTCTGTGTTGCAGGTCATCACTGGGTTCCGTCATTTTCATGGCGGGATTTCAAAACTTAAACAGGTTACAGGACGCGCTCAGCGTGACATCCAGCGCTCAATTGTCGCGGTCAGCGTGGACGCAGTACCTAGCACCGTGATGGTTGCCGTACGAGCTCTCATGGACTTTCGGTACCTCGTACAGTCACCCGTATTTCCACGGCCCTTGAAGAATTTCACGCCAACAAAGATGCAATTATAGATGGTGGATTTCGTCGTGGTCAGCGTGGTGGAGTCATTGAGAACTGGTACATACCAAAGCTGGAGCTCATGCAGTCCATAGTTCTGAGCATAAGGAACACTGGAGTTTCTCTGCAATGGACCGCCGACACCACCAAACATGCGCACATAACGGAAATCAAGGATCCTGCTCGCTCCCAGCAACAACAACACAATCCCCAGATATGTCGCCATCTTGACCGTACCGATAAGTGCCGCCGCTTTGACCTCGCTATGAGTCTGCTTAACAATATGGCAGACTCGAAGCGGCAGGGTTCAGATGACGTTGGCGATGTCAATGACAACGTTGATCTCGATGCAGACGACGATCACGATGATGGCGATGTTGATTTCGACGCAGATGTCGATCATGATATCCCACACCTTCTAGCGATGAACAAATACCCTGGGCATTGCCAAGGTCCTTCAGCACAGGGAAGCGGGAACAGTCCCTGTGCCATTGCGCTCGTTCGTTATTGAACGCACAGTGTTCCACCTCGCCTACGACCCATCCATCAGAAATATATCTGTTGACGATGCTGCCATTAAGTTTGGCCTTCCCGACTTACGACCAGCCATTGCCGACTTTCTTCGTCGTGAGGATACTCACGGGAGGGATCACATCCATACTATTGGGGGGGCTAGAAGAGCTGGACCCACTACTCCACTTCCCTTCGACAAACTACAAGTCTGGTTTAAGCTTCGGCTCCAGGACACCGATTTTCATGATATCAGCATCATACGGCCTGCACAGACCCTC